GAATCGATCGAGTCGGATTGAGGTTGTACGATGTGATGGTTATAACACTTGGCCAGATTCGATATGTTCCAAATCTGAAGAGGAATCTCATATCTTTGAGTACCCTAAATTCAAAATGGTATAAATTCTCTAGTGGAGGTGGAGGTGGAGTCTTGAGGGTCTGAAGGGGTGTCCGGGTTGTACGGAAAGGGACAAAAGAAGTCTTGGTTATACATCTTGTAAGGAAGCGTAGAATCAATTAAGAGACATTTGGACAAGTTTAGTATTGTAGTAGAAATTCAGTTGGGTACAATATCTCTTGTGATGGGCTTTGGATCGATTCAGAACATTGCTCAGGGGAGCGTTGGTAATTCCTTTTTGCCACCAATTTCAGTAGATACACTGTGTTCAGTACTAGGGTTGGATCCATTGAGCATAGGTACTGTGGTGTCGGCGATGTTTGTAATGCTTTCGGGATCATTGAAGGTGACAGTTCTAACAATGGGCCTTCTAATCATGCATTTTATGTGGTTTCTACTACAGAGTGTGCTTCGACCCTATTTGGTCAATTGTGATTCCTAGGTAGAATTTTGGGAACCCAGGGGTAGGGTTCACGTGTCATTTGTGGATACCATGCAGGGAAAGATGTTTTTGTGGAATGGAAAGTTTTGGTTCTGATTGAAGAGTTCAATTTATTTCGTTGCAGTCGAATTTATTTTTTTAGTGGGAAAATTTTGAAGTTTTAATCGTTGCAGTGGAATTCGTGTTAATGTAGAGATTGTTAAAATTTGGGTGTAACTTGAATTCCTCGTTGAAATAATTGTAGAGATATAATTGAGGTGCACATCAAGAGAAATTCTAATTGGAATGCTATGGAGTAATCCTATCGAAGTTTAATTGACAAATTCTAGTTAAAGTTCTATTTGGAAGCTCATTGAGAGTTGAAATTTGTGTTGGACTTGATGAGATCAAATAAGAAAAATTTTGATATTTTATTTCATCTACAACTCCACTTCTAGGGGTGGATTTTTTTATATAAATGCTAGACTATTTTTCTAATTTTGTGAAGCTTTATTGCTATAGTTGACTCTTTCCATATTGTTATTGAATAAAACATCGATTCCTCTATTTAACTCTCTTTTTGTTTTTTTACTTTAATCTTGTTCTATTGGTTGTGATATTATATATTTCATATTACATTATTAAATCTCAATTCTTGCGTCGCCTTCCAGTCCAACATGGTGGTTTTAGAGCTGTTCCCCCTTCAACACTCTATTGGAATTGCAGCTTCCAGTGCTGAACACAACTTTGTCAAAATATCTTTCATCTCAACCAGTGCAATACCTGAGTGATTAATGGCGGGATAGTGTGGTAAGGAAAAATGGAGAACCTTTCTCATATTTTGTGTTTATGATCTGTGCATTTAGCAATACTGATGCCGGCTGACAATTGTAGTTAAGTGAGAATTCGACACAGGAAAAAATGAAGTTGACCAAGTGTTATAGGAAAATGCTTCGTATTTCTGCATTAATAAAGGGACAAGGTGTTATTTTGAAATGAGTTGGAGTTGGAAAAGAAATTAGAACTCTGAAAGTTTTGATCTATCTAAATTTGTAAATAAATGAAAGTAATTTTTTCACTGTTCATCAAAATAAAAGGATTGATGTTCTAACTGTTAACCGGGTAATTTGAGATATGGAATATCTCAATCTAGTGCAGTATTCAGCCCTTCTATCAATAACTGATGGATGGTCATACCACTTGACAACTATACCGTGACATGCTATTCTTTTTTATTATTTTTGTGTTAGATGATGGCATTTTTATGGAAATTTGACATAGGATACTATAAAACATAAGCTTAATCAATTTCATGTTTTAAACATTAATTCATCCTTGTATTTTTCATGATCTTGGCGATTGCTTGGATCCGAAAGTGCAATATCATTTTTCTTTGTAACTTTATTTCATTCTTATCCCTTTTTTCAACACCGATGTATGTGTTTTGGATATGGATTTTAATGTCCATTATTTTAGATTGTTGTTTTTACGGTCAAACAAACTTAGTATATGTTCCTAGTTAGATGATGGTTCTTACAATTCAATGAATATTATCAAGAACAATCACATTGTTGACCTATGCTTTTTTGTGTTTTCACATGGGCAGAAGAAGTGGCGAGATAAAAAGAGATGTGCTATATTTGGTAATAATTTCCTAGTAAATTTGATAGAATGAGACTTCTTTCAAGGTTGGTCGGTTTATGCGCTTTCATTTTTTCCTTTCATCGTTTTGGAAGTCTAATACAATAGATTCATGGGACTTAATTTGGAATTGATTTTTCCCCCATAATTTGTTTAATTTCGTACACGAAAATCTTAGGGAGGACAACTTGTGCTTAAGATACTTTCAGCACATGGTGCTTTGTGCACTTACCTTTTCCTCATCCTCTTCCCTTCTTATTTATTTGTTAGAAAGCTTCTGTTTATAACTTTAATCTACAGAAGATATTGGCTAGGTTGGTCGATTGTAATTTTATATTTTTCAATGAATTGTTAATGATTTAAATCAAGAGTAAATGGCTTCAGAGTAATTAAAATTAGAATTCGTGAATAGTTGATCCAATCATAATCGAGTATTTTATTTATTTACATTCCAAGGCCCAATCATGCCACCAACATGTCAAAATTACCATAATCGAGTTGTTGCTTACTGTACAAGAGTTCGTATCACACTTATAACTGCAAAGTCTGTCTCTCTATATTTTCCAATAAATTACTTACGGTAAAAATGTAGTCTAGCTTCATTTGGTTCTTATTTTTCACCCCAAAAAATCAATTTTTCATCGTTACTTTGAAAAGTTAGCCGTCAATTTTGACTTCTTTACTTACATGGGGACGCACTTTTCTCTCTAATGGTCAAAAAATTGATTCTCGTAATCTCTACCAAATAAACTCCTAGTTTGTTTGTTTTGATTGCCAGCTATTATCTATCAGAATGTGAGCCAATGTTAGCGAAGAGAACCAAATAATTGTATATAATGGATTATAATTTTTTGGTTGCCTGTTATTTGGTTGGATATTAAATTTCTTGTGCACTTGGTTGGTTATATAACTTTTTCATCTATAGCTTTTAGAGAATTTGCCAATGAAAAAACTGCATGTGATATAATAATTTGCTTGATATTACTTGAAGATAGTAATACGGAAGCAAAAATGATCATTATTGTTAAAATTCTTCAATGCATGTCAACTAGTAATCAGGAACACAGTAGTATTCTTGCGTTTGCTCAATGTTGTTGCTGACATTTGAGTCCAAATCAAGAACACAACAATATCTTGACTTTCCACAAGGTCACATCAAATCTTCTATTATGATTTTGTAAAATTGAATATGATGCAAGGAAATAGGTAGATGCTTAAATTGAAAAGAAAAACCAGTTTTGAAGGACCAAGCATGCCTGGTAGCTAGCTAATAATTTAAAACAATGTAGTACACGATTATTAGCTATCAAAGCAACTCTTTAATATAATGTACAAGTAGCATTATTTATAATATAAAGATCAGAGTCAGAACTTTAATTTTATTCAAGACATAGTAAGATTCACAATTATTATTTACTTATTTGCAATTCATTTTTATCAATTTATAATTTCTCTCAAACCAATACTAAATTATTACAGCTGATTTTTATTATTTTAATCCCAACATGATTTTTACCTAATCAGGGGCAGAGCCCAATTGAGGCCAGTGCCTGCATTGGACTCTTGGCCCATCCCAAATTATTGTTATTTTTTTGTTGTGAAAATTATATAAAATCAAGTACTTAAACTTTCAAATTCAAAGTTTAGGAGTGAAGTATATTTATGCAAAAATCAGATATTATTAATTCCCCCAATTCAATTAAAAGCCCTATTCATTTCACCCAATTTTGAAACCCGGTTCTGTCTCTTTCTTCTCTCTTCTTGGCGACGCATTCAACCACTGCAAAAGCGATAAAGGAAATGCGTCGACGCCAGAGCCAGCGTGGAGCGGTGAAACTGCTGGTTTGGGCCATGTTGATTCCCAATTTGGTTTCCGAACAGATTACCAATGTTGAGACCTTTTGACATTGAAATCAACTCAAATGCATTCATGGCTGCTGCTCATTTTTCTCTGCCACAAGATATTCCTATAGTAAGCAATAGATGTGCTGTCCACTGAGTATTTTTCAACAATTTTTTTTCTTAATCTCAGATAATCAGTAATTAATAGTTCCATTTTCTCTGCAAATTCACCTCAGAATCCTTAAATACAGCTGGACATCTCCAAATTTGTATCTTCTTTCTCATCAAATATTGGTGCTTTATAGTCTTTCTTAAACCACTCATCCTTCAAAATTTCGAGGATTGTAATGTGCTGGACAAACGTATGAATCATGAAATGGGAAAAAAAAAAACACAAGTTGAAACACAAAGAACATGATGCCAAGCTTCTCTTTTCTTCTTTCTGCTGATTTTTTTTTTTGAATGGAAAAAGTTTGTGTACAAGATAACTTGCATCGGCCTGAAAGAAACTCAGTATGGTCACAGTCATAGGATTTGGATTCATGTTACATTTTCTCTGTTATTTCATTGGTAGGCGTCTGTGACCATTTGGCTGATTTGTGACCAAGAAACTATGTTCATGTGACTCATAGATAAAATGTGACCTGTAATTTAAATTATCTGTGGTCTCGAAATAATTTTTGAAATAATCTGTGATCAACAAAATTTTTGATTTGTGATTAACTAATTTGACAATGACCGATTAATGAATATGTGACATATAATTATGAATTCGTGATCATTAATCGTGTAATTGTGACTTTTTACATTTATTTAATAAATATTTTAATTAATTAAATATATACCTGAATTTTGAATTTTCAAAATTTATACTTGATATGATTTTTTCCCTTTTTTGTTTTTATATTTTGGACTGTTGGGCCTTTCACTACAGCAGCCCAAGAGAAAGCCCAAGCAGCCAAAGAGAAAAAACTCACGCCATACGGTTCAAACCACAGCACCGCGCCTCAGCCTCTCACTCGTCTCTCGCCGACTTCCACAACCGACCAGACTCAGTACACATATATGTGAAACAATTTTTGGTCGACGGATTGATTATTGATTTGCGTCACAGTAATATCAATGGTCAGAAACATAGGACGCGAGCCTGGAGGTGATCGCTGAGTGATACATAATATCGTGAAAAGTCGAGGTCACAATTGTCTTCTTCCTTAACTCCTTCGCCTTCTCTGCCGTGAAACATCCTCGGAATGACTTGTAGGATCTGGATTTTCCCGTTTCGTTCTCGAATCCGTAAGAACTGGTAATGTAATCGGGTTCCGAAGACCACCCGAATATCGGCGTCCACCAGTCGTTCGAATTGGTACCCACCGCCGACTTACGATACGGGTTGGGTTCCTGGAGTTCACAATTTATAGAAATTCATATATGCGTGTGTTTACATACATATTCATATATATGGATATAAGGAGATTCAAATACCTTAACACCAACGTGGTATTGTTACAACCCATCAAACGACCATTTACAATCTCTTCCTCCACTGCCCCACAAAACCCGGAGCTTGAAAACCAGATGTCTTCAAAAATAAAGGTGGAAGAAGACTGCGCCCCAGTAAAACCCGGGGGAGTGCCAACACAGGCAGCATTTGATCAGATATTTCTCAACAAGAAGAAGTGGGTATCCTCCATTCTCTCAAGCCCACATCTAAATACATCTAAATGGAAACATTTACTAACCCAATTAACTTCTCATCAGTTTGATACCATTTTCTTGGAAATTTATCATTTGATTGACCCTACAATTGCATTGAAGTTCTTTTACTTTGCTAGCACTTCTGCTGGCTTTAAATTCATTCTCAGATCTTATTGCCTTTTGATTCACCTGTTAGTGAGTAAGAATCTTGATTGTGCAGCACGATTGCTATTGATAAGATTGATTGACAAAAAGCTCCCTGTGATTTTAAATGATAATATTGTTGGGAATATGCATAAAGAGATTACAGTTTTATTAGCAAATTTGTATTCAGGATCGAAAAAATTCGACGCGAGTATTAGGACATTGGATATTTTGGTTCATGTTTATGCTAGTCAATTCAAGAGTTTGGGATTTGATGTTGCAGTGGATGTGTTTCGTCTTTTAGCGAGCAGAGGGTTGTTTCCATCCTTTAAGACTTCTAATTTTTTGCTTAGCTCGCTCATCAAGGCGGATGAGCTCGAGAAGTGCTATGAGGTCTTTAATATTATTTCTTCGGCCATTTTGCCAGATGTCTACTTGTTTAGTACAGCGATAAATGCGTTATGCAAAGGAGGTAGGGTCAATGATGCAGTTATGTTGTTTAAGAAAATGGAAGGTGTGGGTATAACTCCAAATGTTGTTACTTATAATAACCTTCTGCATGGGTTGTGCAAAAAAGGGAATTTGGAAGAGGCTTTTCAGCTCAAGGAGAAAATGGTAAATAATGGTGTGAACCCAAGCCTTGTAACATATGGCGTGCTTATTAATGGTTTGATGAAACTCAAGAAATATGATGAAGCCAATTTGATTCTAAAAGAAATGTTGGTCAAGGGGCATGTTCCAAATGAAATTGTTTTTAACACGTTGATTGATGGGTATTGCAGGATTGGAAATGTTACAACAGCGTTGAAGTTAAAGGATGATATGTTATCCCAGGGCATTAGTCCAAATTCAGTTACTTTTAATACACTTCTTAACGGTCTCTGCATGGATAATCAAATTGATCTAGCAGAACAGTTCTTAGTTGAAATGGTATTGAAAGGCTTAAGTATAAACCCTGGTACATTTGGTTCTGTTATTCATGGTCTGTGTAAGAATTCAAGATTAGACTCCGCATTGCATTTCACTAGGTTAATGGTATCTAGGAATTTGAGGCCAAATGATAGGTTGCTAACAACATTAATTCATAGGCTTTGCAAGAATAGTAAGCATTCAGAAGCTCTGAAGCTATGGTATATGCTACTAGATTTAGGGATTGCAGCCAATACAGTGACCTCAAATGCACTTATATTTGGACTCTGTGAGGTGGGCAACATACAGGAAGCTAAAATACTACTTAAAAATATGTTGAAAAGGGGTGTTGGATTGGATGTGGTTACTTATAATGCACTCATTTATGGATGCTGCAAAGAGGGTAAATTGGAGAGTGGCTTTAATCTCAAGGAAGATATGGTTAAACAAGGAATTTCTCCTGATATTGTTACGTACACTTTGTTGATGCATGGGCTGTGTAGTAAATGTAAACTGGATGAAGCTGTTGCACTTTGGCATGAATGCCAAAGAAATGGTCTTATTCCCAACGTTCACTTGTATGGAGTCATGATAGATGGTTTCTGCAATGCTAAGAAAGTTGAGGAGGCTACAAGATTCTTCAACATGTTGCTTGGACATAACATGGAACCAAATTCTGTTGTATATAATATACTTATTAAGGCGCACTCTAGAAATGGAAACATGATAGAGGCCCTTAAACTTCGTGATGAAATGAGAAGCAAAGGCATTTCACCTTCATGTTCCACCTATTCTTCTTTAATACATGGAATGAGCATTTCGGGGCATGTTGATGGGTCAAAACATCTTATGGATGAAATGAAAAATGAGGGCTTGCAACCTGACATTTTCTGTTATACTGCACTTATAGGTGGTTTCTGTAGGCTAGGTCAGATGGATGAAGTAAAGAGTGTCTTGCAAGAAATGTTGTCATGCAATGTACAACCAAATAAGATAACATACACAGTCATTATTGATGGCTATTGCAAGTTGGGTCGTATTAAAGAAGCTTCTGAGCTTCTGAGTGAAATGATTGGCAAAGGAATTGATCCAGATTCAGTTACTTATAATACATTGACAAACGGGTTTTGCAAGGAAGGGAAAGTAGAAGAAGCTTTTAACTTGTGGGATTATATCTCCTACAGAGGACTAAAGTTAGATGAAGTTGCACACACCTCGTTGGTTCACTGCTTGCCACCGGCATCAGGAAATGCTGATCAAAATTGAATGGGAACTCCAACACGGTAGGTTTTTACAATGAATGTGCTATTGTTTTGTACCTGATTCTACTCGATATCTAGTCATTCTTTTCAAGAAAATACATATATCTACTCATTTATTCATTTTATTATGCAGCCTACTTTTTTTTTTTAATAAGAAATGGGGTCAGTCTTTTCGATCATAAGCTCTGAATTTTGCTTGGTCTGTCTCAGACAAGCTGGTTCTAGTGAAGCTGGTTGCATAACTTTCTTTCAATTCCCTTTAACGAATTATTTGGTTCTTTCATGTGATATTTAAGAATTAGTAGTGGTTATTATAGACACACCACTGAAGAGATGTCATTTTTCAACAGGTAATTAATATTCTCTAAACACGTTGAGATACTTTACATGTATTTCTTTTTCCTTTAAGATGTCTGGTAAAGAAATATGTTACGATCAATATATGATTTTTGAAAGGAAAGAGAGTACATTCTCATGGAGGTATCAGGATAACATAAGATGACAATAACCATTTTATAGATTAACAACTATAGAAGAAAATATAGAAATTGTCACATGGATCATCTTCCAAGATTCAGCAATGTCTGAACTCTCTACAATAGATCGTGGAGGTCTATAAATCATGTACATACAATTGAAGATGCGAATGTAGTTTCTGGGGAAGGAAAAATATTACAGTAATTAATCTATATCGTTGAAATAGGATCAATTCCCTACCCTTCCTCCTGATAGTTAAGTTGTTGAAATTGGATCAGTTGGTTAAATATATATAGGCCCTGTTTGAGCTCTATTATTTCCTCATTAAAACAAAAAATGTGACTGTTATCCATCACATCAAGCCATCATATTTGACTTTTTATTTCTTTTGTAGGGCTCATAACGGCTATATTTTTCATTCTCATTTTTACAATGATGTGGCTCAAATGGGGGCATAATTTAGAAATCAATATGTGAAACCATTGAATTGCCCTTGGTTGTCCTACCTATTTGTTATGTTATTTCACATTGTTTTATTGCTTTATTTTCCAGTGCATTTATGCGCAACCATTGATATTATTAAGTGGCTGAAATTCATTCAATACTTTAGTTTAAATAAAAAGATCAGGCACATATGAAGAATTTTCATATAAGAAATAATTCAGAAATAATATGTGCTTTGCATTTGTGAAATGTGTGCCTTGCTGTGTGCTTTTTCCTCAAGAGGCCTTGCCGTCTTATTGACCTTGAACATTTAACAAATATGGTTTATTACACCTCAAAAGTATTTTCATAACTTCTTCCTCAAAAATACATATTTTCTTTTTAGCATGGGCTTATTCTAATATAGACCCAAATCTTGCCAGCTTTATGTGCAGGTCATTTGTTGGGTTTTTAGGGAATACAGTACTGCAAGTGGGAAGTATTCTGCCTCATATATCAGTGGGAAATTGTCTGATGTGGCAGAGGCACATTCAACTGACGACATTGTCAAAGTATGTGTTTGCTTTAGTACCTAACCATTTCATATTATATTCTGAAACATTTGATTTACTTGTTGGCTTAATAAAGTTTATGTAGCTATAACCCAAACTTGATGATGTATTTATATTTTGGTTGTAATTCATCTGCACGTTCTTTTGAGTACATATTAAGCTAATTTTTCTGGGAGTTTTGTGAATTTACTTATTTAAACTACCTATCAAAAAAAAATTACGTGTCAGCATGTCATGCAGAAATGAAAATACAAAAATGCGTGTTGATTTATATTTTCTGCTCACAGTATTTAAACTGCTTTGGGTTGTGAAAATTAAGTCAGCTAAGCTTCATTGGTAAGGTTCGATTGGTGACTATGTGACAAGTATACATAACCATATCTTAACTAGTGACACATTGCATCTAGCAATTTTTATGTTATAGTCAGACTAGATTATGTTGATGGGTGTTTTTGTAGGACTCGGAGGTGGTCGCTTTAAATGCTTATGTTTTATGCTTTCAAGTAAGAATAACTTTTGATTGCTGGATAGAATATGGGTCTGACAAATTCAAGCAAATAGAAGATAATGAAAGCCCTGATAGCCAATAACTAAATTCTCTCCCACTCTGAAAAGCATTTTTTCTGTCCTTGCAAATGATCCACATCCTCTGAAGTGGTGCGGTCACTGCATTGACCACCGACCTCTTGGTTACCCTTTTTCTTTTTTCATCTGCTATTTATAAATTCCAGAAATTTGCAGAATAGAATGGGCATGCAGTTGTTAATAATTTCTCAAGGTATTAATTGATACTCTTATGGTCCTTTGCAAAAAGAAAAGAGGAAACTAAGCCGAAGACGAAATATTCTTCAAGAAGAAAATTGCTTAATGATCCCAGGCAATTTTTCGAGGAACTATGTGATCTAGAGACGAAGAAAACTGGTGGACTTTTCTCAAAATCAATATGGTCCAGACAGTCAGTTTTTGTCTATGCATAAAAGTAGAAACTGTCTACACTGTGGAGAATGGATAGTCTTTAGCTAATTTCAGTTCTTTTCTGACATGAATTCTAATTGATGAATATTGGGTCTACAAGTGGCGCAGTGTCAATATGATCGAAATAGTCAGTCATCTTTTATCAAATCATATAACTTAACCATCTTCATGGTGGAGATAAATAGTTAGTAGCTCTAGTCATCTCCGCTTATTTATTTATAAAATCAGAACCATCTTTACTGTGGACAATAAATAGTCAGTAGCCTTGAGCTCTCTCTCCCCCTTTATTAGGCAAATTCTGATAGATGAAAACATATTTTTTGAATAGTGACTATCATAGGGTAATCTTCTTGTTGCACTGAAGTAATAATTTTATGTACGATAATGGTAATTTTTTTATCCTGATTTTGAAGGAATACGCTGTCACAGCCCTTGAGAAAATATATTCTTTTGAAATAGCAGTTGGGAGAAAAGTGAACATGCTTCCTGAGGTAGGCAGTTCTAATCTTGTGTAGTTTTATTTTGACATCTTAATCTTTCTGCTCAGTATATGCAAGTGTTACTTGAATGTTTATGTAGCCTTTTTCAAGTGGTACTGTTGAGTATGGACAAGTTTAGATTCTCATTGTAGTTCCTTGTGTGAGTTCATTAAATGTACACTTCAGGAATACAGTTTGTATTATTTGACATCACAATCCTCTGTGAGAACTATTATGTTTCTATTATACCTTATCCATACCTACCTAATTAGAATATCAATTTTTGTTGTATTATTGAGTGATTTTTTTAGTGGATGCAATTGCATGTGTATGGACTTTGCTGAGACCTAAATATTTTGAACTTCTACCTCCAATTCTGAAAAGAGAGAATATTCACAAATATACTGAAGATTTATTGATCACTCTTACCTCTCTCCTTGTTGAACTTGCTATGTGACACTGAAAAATAAGTCGTGAATCCCCAGCTGTGGCTCAATGAATGTTGTTACTTTTCACAACCATGATAAACAAAGCCTATGTTTTGTCAGATGCTAGATAATCCAGATTCAAGTAAGGTTACTTTTTAGTAGATACATGCATGGACTTCTTGGTATTCAAAACCAGGGAACCGCCGTTTAGCACATGGAGCTTGGTTTATTTGGAAGAGGAGGTTTAGGGAAATAATGTGCACACAGATGGAGGTGTAAAAAGTTTCTTTGAGCTTAATTACTTCTTATTCATTTGAGGGTGGAAATTTTCCTTCTGTTGTATTGGTTGCGTAATAGATATTCACAGAGATCGTACAATTGGTAAATTAATTCTTGAATCCAGGAGACCTAGTGCAGTGGTTACTTTGGGATGTATTAGATGTTAAAATAAATGGTCTAGCTAGTGGCAGTTGAATGGAATGGTAATATAATCTAAGCAAGCTTTGTTCCTTAGGAAACACTGGAAATCCTACAAAAAATAACGGAAGTTCGAGAATTAGAAAAGGCTCATCCTTCCACCTTGGAACATGAAAATTTAGTTTTTTACTTCATTTGGTATTGAAGGGATAGCTTTAGCATTGGCAGAACTGTTTTTTATATGTCTTTATGAGTAATGAATTCTTGGGTAGAAATATTTAACTTCCATGCTTATTCTTATAGAATGTAAATAATAATTTAAAAAAAATACACCTCTTCATATTCTAACTTGAGCTTTTGTTCAAATATGTAGATAGAACTTTCTGCATGATGATATTTTTTGCTTGCTGCAGTGTGAATCCTTGATTGAAGAATTATTAGCATCCAATTCAATAGATCTGCAGTAGTGTGCTTATGAACTTCAAGCAATTAATGGTTTAGATGCTCATTCTGTTGCAAATATAATGCCAATTGATGCAAGTTGTGAAGACATTGAGGTGATATTTATCTTTGCATTTAAGCTTGAGTTTTAAAATGTCAGTCTTGCGGGCATTCTCTTGTGAATTTCATTTTGGGGTTGCTATAGAAAGGACATAAAATTGTAGATTGTACGTGCATACGAGTAACTCAGATGTTTACCTAGTTTATTTGCAATCTCCAGCTCCCTTCATTCTCATAGAATGAGATGCTGGGGCATCTCTCTTTATTCTAACATATTTAATTTGAACTTTATTTTTTTCCTCTTTATTTTGCAAGTTTTGGAAGAGATTTGTAAGAACTATTGATCGACAATAGTCTATGTGGCAAGTGGGTTCAGTGCGACACTCTCCAGTGAATTAAAATGCATCTCGACTTTATTAGATCACTGCTACATGGATTATTGTGAATTAAAATGCATCTCGACTTTATTAGATCACTGCTACATGGATTATTGTCCATCAACAGTGCTTACAAATATCATTACTCATAAAGGTTAATGTTGTTTGCCAATAATTATTAATGTACATTGCATTTGGTAGATTCTGTCGGTCTAATTGTCTTTGTTATTCCTTTCAACTTCTCTACCCTGGAAGATGTACCGAACTGTTTGTCTGATCTTCACGTTTAAAAGTCCAAACTGTTTTAAGAAAGTAGTCTTATCTATTAAATTGCCGTAAGGGAATGTTGGAAAAATATATATAACAAGGTGAGGAAACTGTGATCACAAGAGACAATTATTCCCAGCAGTCGACTATTTTAAATGCGTGTTTAGAAACATGGGACTATGATATTCTAGGATATCTAGTTTGATTATTCTAATGTTTCTCCTTTCTTTCTGTACCAGGATTGTGATAAGATTCAAATATGCAAAAATTGAAGAACAGATAAATGAAAGAATCGCTGATTAAAAATAACAGGTTTCGGAAAAGGCAGATACTCAAGCCTGCAGATGGCTGGGATCTCAAAAAGTACGACTCACACTCTCTCTCTAAAATATGCCTGCCTATTATGCTCCTTTCCCCCTTAATTTTTAGCCTTCTATTAACTGAATCTTCTAACTACTTTCCCTTCTAACAGAATTCTGTTTACCCCTTACCACCATCTGGTAATCTATCCTTCTTTGACCTAGAATAAGTGAACTGGATGTGAGTCTTATCTGATTGTAAGATTCTGGATTTGAAAGTGAACAGAGAAGTTGATATGATGTAAGCCTATATTAATTTTTGGTATAAAGATAGGATACTGTAGAGTCTTTCTTGTGTACATGGAATGCCACTCTTTCTTACTTTGTTGCCCCACAATGAGCATCGTTCCTGAAGAGGACAATAACTATTTTCTTCTAAATTAGATAAAGTATTATAAGAAAGATAAAATACTAACACCACTTCTCTTATTATATCCATATTTTATTTGATGCAATGCCCCGATATGAGGCACAAGGTGATGAGGGGAGTACTTCAATTCACTTTGAACTATAGAGGACTCCAGTCACACAACGTGAAGCATTGCTTTCCCGTACTTTTTGCAATACCCATACAAGTTCTATAAAGGTTTATGATTGTCCTTGTTATGTTTTGGGCGCTTGAAAGAAGTCATTAAGATGGATAGGCAGTTGTTGAGTATGGTCGCCACTAATATATATTTTTCTTGTCATGACTAATTATATATCAACTTCACATTATGTGGCTTTGTTCTCCGATGAAATTTGTTTTATGTTTTTTCATGCATTACTACTTGGTCGTTCTTATTTGAAATTGCTTGGCTATTACAAATTTATTGTGGCTTTGCTTTTGTTGGCTGTGGTTGGTAGTGTTGTATGCATTGCTACTTGATCGTTCTCATGCTACATATTTTTTTTGGCTCAAGAATGCTAGTAAAGTTTGTAAAATATTTGCAGATTGACAAAAGCCTTTCATTTCTCGATGGATATATTCAATTAGCTATAGAAAGGGGGGCTCAACCATAGGTTTCTGCGAGTGAACGTTCGGGAGTGCCAAATATTAGCAACTTCAAAAGCCAGGAACAACGTGAATCCTTAACGCACTCTCTTAGGTTTGAGGCTTATGAACTTCCTAAACCCTCCATGACCCCTCAAGTTAGTGCTAGCATCTTTTACTGAACTTGTTCCTGTACCCGATCAATATTATCATACAGAGGTCCACTATTCTGCTACACCTGTGCCGTCTTTTTCTAATGCAGGGTCATCAGAACTCAAGCTACGACTTTATGGGGTTCAAAAGAAGTGGGGCAAACCTTCTTATTCTTCACCCGTGTCGTCTACTTCGATCAATGATACCACTAAGATAAAGAATGGGACAACCCAACGCAATTCAGTTGGAAGTGCAAACTCAAAAGCATGTGATGCCTTTTATGATTCAAGAAAGCAGCTAGTAGAGATATCTCTTGAGAAGCATAAACTGGCTGCTTCACATTTTGGTGGTGCATCAAAATCTGATAGAATACAATCTTCTCCAAGCCAGAAGGTTACTAAGAATAACAGCCATGCTGTAGATAAGTCTCATGCGGAAAAGACAGCAACGTCTGATACTTTCTATAAAAACTTCCCAGCCACCTCCCGACTTGCTCGACTTAGGTGAACCAACTGGTACAAGTATTCCGCCATCTCTAGATCCTTTTAAGCAACTGGAAGGTCTTCTCAATCCACAGTAAGTCATTGTACACTATAGTGGCACACAAGAAACATCCCCTCCAGAAGAAATAAAGAAAGAATAGAAAAGATAAATACTGTGCTGTAAACTTTATACATCAATGATTAGTTGAAGTGTGGCAAAAATTCTCTTTTGTCAAAAACTTTTTTTGGTCTATATTATTGGTTAATGTTGAACAAGAGGAAAAAAAAATAAAAGTGGAAAACGTGAATTTGGCCTGTTTAGCAGCAGAACTTATTGGATTCTCTTTTCTCATCTCCATTTCTCTCTCTTCCTTCTTTTTTTTTTAAGTTTTTTTTATTGTGGTGGTCTGGTGGTGGTTCAAAAGCAATGACGGTTAGTGTGAGTTAAATCTTTGTCCTATGAGATGTCTCCTCATTCATTTCCTGGATGATTTGGAAGGAACACAACTAGACCATTTCAAATGTGTTTACAATACAATACGGAAGACTAAGAGTATTGTGCTTTTTTTGCTATTTTTTCGGTAATCACTCTCCATCCCAGCTTGTCTATGCATATATGAATTTTTTCTGTAGTAAAAGTATCTTCGAAATAAAATTTGTATGTGTTCTAGTTTAAAGAGTTGCTGATTAAACAAGTAACATAGGGAAAACGGGCCAAAAAAGGTTAATGGAGAAGAAATCTTTCTATTGTACCAACTCTTTTGAAAGTTTAGGATTATAGCGTCGTAAGTTTACCTCAAAAATATACGATAAGTTTGATGTTGAAGATGTTAGATTGTAAAACTATTGAAAATCAAGGTAACTAAGAAAGAAATAAGAATTGTTCTGTTGTCAAAATTGAGAAAGGAGAAATATGCCACCTTGATGCATTGGTGAAAATGTGTGATCTTGTGTGTGATTGTGTACAGAGTGAGGCTCTTTATTCAATGTAAATTATCAAACTTTGAACACCAAAGACACTTGCGGAGCAGTTACTGAGAAATACAACAAATTGAGGGAACCCTGACCAGAAATGTGAGAGGTTGCAAATGATTTTTAATTTGATAAAGCTTGAGTCCAGCCTTTAGTGTACAATAATTTATAAATATATAGCTATATGTGACAAATTAACTTCCCTGCGATAACATGTTGATACTCTGTGGTTTTGTTTAGCCATCTGAAATTTTATGAGCTTTCAGGTGGAGGTTTTTAATTTTGATATAGAAATTCGAACTGTAATTTTTTCCTTGGAACTCTCCACAACACATATGATTGACAAATACAGTCTTAGATATTGCTGTACTTTCCAGAAATTCAGCCAAGCTTCCATTATCAAAAGTGGTGGTATTGCCTGTGCTTCTGCTGTATTGAGGATGATTCTGTTCAGGAAAACTATTTTATCATGTGAAAGTGTACAACATAAACCATTGCCAGTCAATAGATTGGATCACACCTGTAAACTATTATTCTTTTATTAGATATATTGATTTTAACTATGATGCATTTCCTTTTAAAAGTTTCTCTTAACTCACTATTCTTCATGTTAACACATGGCAGAAGGTGTAGAATTACTTCTAGAAGGTATATGGTTTGTTTTTAATTTGATTGATATCTATTGAATGTCACATATTGAGAAGTGATTCTGTCCGCCACTGTTTATTACGTCCTTTTTCGCACCCGTCTTCATCACATTTGTCGATTCAAGTGGTAATTATTTTATTGTCTTTTGTTCTTTTATTTCTTTCTTTATTTTTTTATTTTCAGAAGATGATGTTGGGAATGACAATGATTACAATGTCCCTTCTGATGGCATTAATGAATTGAGCAAGGTAATCTGCTACTTATTTAACTTCCTAGGATTGTAGTTCAATTAGTCAGAGCACCGCCCTGTCAAGGTGGAAGTTGCGGGTTCGAGCCCCCGTCATTCTAGATGGATCCAATAAAGACTGGATGGTGATGATGCGAAATTGAGTGACTAGCAAACCTTGAATTGGTTTGTATGGATGAGTAATATGATGTTTCTTCTCTATGGTTGCTTATCCAGGAAGACGAAAGAAAACTAAGCAGACATGAAATGCGTCCTTTATTTAAACTTATTTATCTTCACCCGTGGACCCAAATATGGCATAATAGCTTGTTTTGCTAATATGATCTATGTTGCTCGGATTCGGGTACGGGTGTCGGATACGGGTACATATCTAGGAGTCGGATTCTTATTTTAAAAATTAAGATATGGGGATACGATTAAAAAGGATCCGAATTTTGGATACGGATACGAGGATACGTCTTACAATTTTTATGAATTTATTCAAAATGGATAATTGTAACTTAAACTATTGAATCAAACAAATTTAAAATTAAATATTAAACTAATCTTATCTTAAATAAAACAATAAATCACTTCAATTACAATAAATAATACAACCTGGAAGAGACTAGAGACAACCCCTAATTTATGGCAGCATGAATTGTTGACTTTTAAACCACCTAATTTAGCTCCCGTTTGACCCTCATTAATTTTCATTACATTACATTATATTTTTCTCTCTCCTATTTTCAACCACACAATTTTTCATAAAATAATATTATACGTAAATAAAAAACTTTTCCTTCCTTTTCAACCACTCATTTTTCAAAAAAATACTATTCCACCAATTTTCATTTTCCGAAAATGGGTGCCAAACGGGGGCTTACTCATTTCATTAACTTATTCATTGGACTTCACAAAATCCCATTTAACACATACTCAAAACCTTTCATCTTCCCCAAACCCATCTCGTCTTCTCCAACTCTTATCTTCCCTCTCTGCAATTTGTAAATGCTGCTGCCATGTTACACTCGTCCATAAATTTCTTCATATTACTATCACCGAACTTGAAATAAACGCGTTTCCTGCCGCCACAACCGCAAGCCAGAAGCAATACTCTGCTGTCCATTGTCTTCTCCATTTTCTAGCCGTGTCCGAGTTCAAAGCCAAGAATTCGACCCATATCTCATGTCGATATCTGTGTCATGTCGTGTCGACACGGATACTTCTTCATTTTTGGAGAGTCCGAGCATCATAGAATATGATTCAGTTATCTTTAATCATCTTTGTGGCATACACGATGAATGATAACAGATAATTATGGAATTGCTTCAAGCATCATGTCACTGAAGAATAGGAAGTGTTAGATTAATCTTATTTAGTTTATTCCCTACTATGCAGAAGAATATATTTCTGTCCTATTTATAGAATAATATGTAGACTTTTCTGTTGATTTTACATTGATTTTATTGGTATAATTTATTCATTTTCTTTGTAATTTCAGTTAGAAATCTATAATTCTAAATTAGCATTATCTATAGACATCCTTAAAATTAAACCTCATAATGATGCCATGAAAGAAAGCTAATCTAAATTTTTGCTGCGAATTTGTCCTCGCTAATTTTGTTTAGCATTGCAACATGACAGCACAGGCTTTAGTTCTTGCTAGAATTTTAGTGTAGAGAAGGCGACGCGAGTTATACTGACAATATCCACTTACAATCTGCCCTTTAGGTTGCTGTTGGATTTGAGAACAATTAACTGCTTATCTTTAGCATTCTTCTTTGTACATTGCTGATAAATGCTGTTCAGTATTTGTGAGTAATGATTTAGAAGAAGGTTATTGAGGTCTACCTGTCACTAACTTATACCATACACTTTGCACAAGATTTTCATTCTCAGAATTGTTTGCTTCTATGATGCACGGACACTCCTTCATGGGCAGTGTGTCTGTGTACTATATGTATGATGTCGGGCATTCCATGACATGGGTTTGACAAACTACATGCCTTATCCTATGTTATATTTTTTAAATTTCTAAGGCTTTAGGATTACTTTAGAGACATTTCTCATGCAAGCCATGTCCTCTATTTAAAAAATTATAATAATAAAGATATTAAATTCTAAATTTCAAAGAATTTAAATCGTTGTGTCCAAGTCCTACTTAAAAAGAGAAAAAAGAAAAAGTGTCTCCATGACCGTGTTTGTGCATCTTAGGTTTGGTCCATAATGTGCATTCACTAATACGCATTAACAACACATGAGTTTTCCTGATCGGCATATGGTTCCTTTATATGCTGCTATATGTCCTTTGAAGGTGTTGTAAAGTATGCAATACTAATAATGCTATACAGTTAAATTTCAGTTTTTGGATCATATTAGCCAAGCAATTAAAGTTAAAACATGTATTTTCTATTCTTGATGACGGGGGACTTCGTCGGAAGTGATACAATCTAGACAGGGATCTCATTCTAGAGGGGGAAGAGTGATACCAAACATATAATTGAACAATTAATTATGCAGGAGATGTTTTCAAGGTAACTAAGTAAATTTTAAAGCATGTCTATTACTAGGAATTACAAGCATATGTTCCTTCTGTAATATTTTTGGCGTCCTTTTCATTTCTAGTTGTTGCTCTTTTTTCTTCAATTTTCATTATACTATCTCTGCTTTTTTCCTATTCAGATTTTGCTAGCTAATTCTCCAAGTACATGTCAAGTTGTTGAATTAAATTATTGCCAACAAATTTCAGATTTTTGCCTTTATGTTTCTAGTATTTCCTCTTCTGTCTCCTCCTATTGATGTTGGGATCAAACTTATCGATGACAGCTTGTGGCAATGTGCATTTAATGTGGAAAATCATAGTGTCATCGAAAAAGGATTTTACTGCAGTGCTTCATCTACTGTCTAACACTTTGTGCTATAACCCTAGCAGTGAAGAGTGTGATAGGTTGATAAAAATTATCAACTCTCGATTGGTGGATTATTCCACGACGGAAGCTGGGGAGACACGTCTACTCACTGTGTCACCTTGGGAAACAGTTGCTTTTCGAGAAATTTCCAAGTAATCTAATTTCAGGGTCTTTAGATCACCAATAGAGTTTTCCTTTCATACACAGAAAATGTTGATCTACAATAGAACTGTTATGGAAGCAAACAGGTGGCTTGGAGATAAGAAAATGGGATCAAGCCCAGTGTCAGACTTGGCTTATGGGACCATTGGTTTAAACTCCACAGTGCCTGAAAATGTCAGTAATTTTAGGGGGTGTTTGGTATTTGATTTTTCATCCCAAAAAATCAATTTTTTGATCGTTATTTCACTATTAAGCCGTCATTTTTGACTTCTTCTTTCACGGATAGGACCCACTTTTCTCATCAATTTTTTGACCGTTATTTCACTATTAAACCGTCATTTTTGACTTCTTCTTTCACGGGTAGGACCCACTTTTCTCTTCAACGGTCAAAAAATCAATTCTCAAAATCACTACCAAACAAGCCCTTAATAAGTGATACTGTTGAGCAAATGTGTGTTATCATTTTTTCTTGAACATGTTGTGTTTCAATATTTCTTTATTTGTTCGAATTGTTATATGTCTTGTACCATTGTGTCTTTTTTTCCTTCCTTTTTTCCCCCCTTTTTTTTGGATCTCATCACTTAAATCATATGTTCTTTTGCTTCCGCTAGTCAAAATTGTGTGCCTAGATTTACGAAGAAATTTGTAACGAGAATAATGTTGCCAAACTAGTTGCTGATCATACTGAGTTGATTAATGCAGATAGGAAGTGAAGTTGGTTCTCCTGTGGATATGGCCAAATCGTACATGAAGGTCCGTCCACCTTGGGCCTCTCCTACAAAACAAATTGAAGTAAGAACCCCATCAACGATGATGATGGAGCCTTTCAAGGAAGGAACTCGAGATTCAGTTGGCAGTGATTCTCTGTCTTTGTTGAAGGTGCATTGATTATTTTTTCTTCTTTATGCATTCCATTATTATTGTAGGTGTTTTAAGTAGTGCTCGATCTTGTCTATGCCAATGTCCATTTGAACACCAACAGTTTTATTCCTTTCTTTATGTTTTTGAATAGAAAACCATGTCTTGAGCAGAAACTTGCTGCAATTGTGACGTTGCCTGGGGTCATCACCTTGTTAAGAGGGATCAATTATTATTTATGTGTCACTTGAACCTACACACAGCATTTTTTATACACCCAAATTGTTGTTTATACTTTATAACAAAACTATCATCATCTGTTTTTCTATACTGCAGATGCCTCTATGATTTCTTTGACATTAGAAATGTGTGAAATTTTTTAATATTTATATGCTCTTTAGCTTAAATTTAGATAGGTGTAAATTGTTTTTGAGAATCGTTCGCACTTAATGTTTTTTTCATCCTTTCAATTTCTTTGATCTTATGGTTTTATCAATTTATTCTTATTTTTCATTGTGACAGACCTAATGGATGTGGCAGAAACGGAATTCTCTTGCCTCTGGATCATGGAATATCCAGGAAGAATTAAGAAGAGTGCATTCAAAGGCAACAGACGATATGCTACGCTCTCTATCCTCTAGAATTGATCTGTCACTTGCAACTAAAAATAGTCTGGGGTACTTGGGAACTGATATACCAGCAGCTGGTATGCTGGAGTAAAAGAATGAGCTGAATTCTTCCACGTTAACCAAATCAATAGATGCACCTCCAAACCCGGATGCAGGAGTGAGATCTAATCCTGACCTATCATGTTGTTCTATTTTCTTGGGTGAATGATCAACTTGTCTTATGTGGTAAATTCCTGTCTATAAATTGTAAGCAATTGGATTTGATATAATTGTAAAAATTTGTAATGTGAGTTGCATCTCTATCTTTCAGCTTTGTACTTGAGGCAAGATGGTCGAGTAAATGACATGTTGCCATCCAAGCCAACTACCTTTGTAACTGGAAACAATGAGGTAACTGGTTAGCTGAATAGGTTCTTTAAGTGATTGATTCTTTTCTTGAAATAAATAAGTTTAATCTTAGAACTGATGTTGATTAAGAGCATGTGTATGTATCAATATGCGAAAGTACCTTTTTAATGAATAGATCTTCACTTCGTTGTTTTTCAAAGGGATTCAGAAGCTATTTTGAATGACAATGAATGCAATGCCTCCAAGCCGCCTCACCTTACCGCTCCCAGTAATGATGTGGAGCATCATGTTGGTATGGAGTCTTTCCTCTTTCTGTTTTGTTTTGTTGGTTTTTCATGCTATAGGAAAGTGATAATAGGGCTCCAGATTTAGCCCCACACTCGACAGCATGTGGAGCTCTGGAATATTGAATTTTTGTTTTTGGCCCAATTTGAGACAGCACACTAAAACAATTTTGAAAGTACAGTAAAAAATAAAGTCCAACAATTATTGAAAAACCACTTTTAAAATATGGTTACTATATAGAAAATGCATAATAGTATTTTTAAAGTTCACATACTCATACTGATTGGTAGAAAAATTAGTATAAGAAATGTTATTTCAAAGTAGACGAAAATCGTATTACATGATCCCGAACCGATCTCATTAAAAAAAAAAAAAAAAAAAAAAAAAGGAATTGAAATTGAAAACTGAGAACAGAGTGGGTCTAGGTCGATTTTTGGTTCTTGAATTGGAACAGTGGGTCACGAGATGGAACCGATTTTTTTATATTTTTCTTATTTTTAATAATTAATAGACTGCTTAAAAAATTAAAAAATTTAATATTTATAACTTAAACACTAAATATGTTGCTCTATTCAACCTGAAGAAAATATCCAATCCAAAGCTTTGGCCCATTTTAGTTACCTAAGTCCAAATACATATATCTTGCCCAAAAGCAATTTAGGCATAGCCCAATACCAAACTTGTAAAGATATTAGAATCCCTTGCCGCCTTTCCCAATTCCCTTCTTGCGTTTTCTTCTTGTCAAACAATGGCTTCGTTTCTTGCACTGACACCACATGTAATTTTTGTAACTCCTGCAATACATACTTCTTCCCTATCATGATATCTTCAAGTCTTTATTTGAAATTTTCTTGGGTATTGATATGATTACTTCAAAAAACTCGATTGATTTGTTGAGTTTGTTGCTGCATTTGTGTTTGTAGTTTTGGAATGTATGTGTCATGTTTTAGTTGAACATAGTGGCGGAGCTAGGATTTCCACGAGGAGGGGGAGGGGACAAAAAAATGTGGGAAAAATATATAATTAGGTATATGTTAAAAAAAAATCTATGTAAATTCACTATAAATCGAGAAAAATTCAAAAATGTTATGGGGCGATTGCCAGCCCCTGTCCCCCATGTGTCTCTGCGATACTTGAACAGATAGATATTTGGATAAATTGAAGAACAGTTTTCTTGTCATAACAAGGATAAGTAGAGAAATCATGCAAAAGCCACTGATGTGGAGCCGTTGGATTTTCAAAATGTTCACCTTGATCTGGCACTATAAATACATCTCTTACACGATCAATCTCTGCATTCACTGGACATTTTTTTATTTTTTATTTTTTTTTTTGGGGTTTAACCCCTGCATTTCTTATTCCAGATGCAGGTCGCCTGCCCTTAGATCGACCATCTAATGTCTCTCGTATAAAAGAAACAGATGCAGTGCCAGAACCAACCTCCCAGCCTCAAAGCAAATTGCTGAAATCTGTTTGGGAGGTTCCCCCTCCTGGTTGTAAAATGCCACACCTGAAGAGCTTTAAACTGACAAAGGAACTAGTTCAGCAAAGAGTGAAGAATAATGTTGTAGTAGTGACCTTTGGTAACTTTGCTTTCATGGATTTCACCCTGACTTGGGTTAAACACTTGACAGATTTGGGTGTTGATAACCTTCTCGTTGGTAATTTTCTCAGTATTCTCATTGCATGGAAGAACGTTTCGCCGTGGTTAGTCAGGTTCCTAGGCTAACAGAAACACTATATTCCTAGGTGCCGTGGACACAAAACTGTTAGAGGCTCTTTATTGGAAAGGTATTCCAGTTTTTGATATGGGTAGTCATATAAGCACAATAGATGTTGGTTGGGGCTCTCCAAGATTTCACAAAATGGGGAGAGAAAAGGTAATTTTGATAGATTCTATCTTACCTTTCGGCTTTGAATTACTGATGTGCGACACTGATATGGTCTGGCTAAAGGTAATCTATCTGTTAAGCTTGTTTTCTTTTATAAGCTCTTTTGCGGATGCTGCCATCTTTGTGCTGATTAATCAATGCGCCTAAATTCATCTTTTTACTGTCAGACGTTCTTCAAATGCTGGCAAGCTATTTTTTCTATAAAAAATGAAGTATTAAGTTACATCTGAAAATCTGCCTCCAATGAACTGCAATCCCATGTATTGAATTTACACAGATTGCATTCCTCTTCAAAAACATGTTGAGTTGAGATATAACAGTTAGATAATCAAATAATAAGTGAAGTTCGGACACAAACTTGTGTAAAGGTAAATAGTTACTATGAAGCACGTGTATCTTGCATTATCGCTCTCTATGAGGAGATTCACACCCTATGTCATTTAATGTTTGAAAGAACCAGTGCAAAAAATATCAAGATTTTCACCCTCCAAGATATAACAGCCCATCATAAATATTTAACCAATCTGCAATAATGATCCAAGCTCAATGCCATACTCTACAATTTCTTTCTTTGACCGCACAATATATCAAAATATGTACATAGAACATGATGTTCTGTGCATACGTGCATAGAAAGTATGTTAACGTTTAGGGATTGAAGTAATTTATAGGTAGTTTACACCCTTACAGTTTGTAGAGAAATAATACTCCACTATCTTATGATCTCCCTTTAATTTTTCAACTTTCTCCGCTAACATCTGCAATATTGTTCCATAATATGAAGATCTCCATTAACTTTCACAATTATGTTCCGTATTCATTATCAATTGTTATGGAATTAATTGTCCATCCTTTCATCTTATATGAAGAATTGATTTCTATCAGCCAGGCTGAATGAAGAACGAGAGTAGTACATGAAGAACAAGAGAGTAGTTCTTTTTATTAGCCTTAATTTTTCTTCATTTGGCCGGTGAGAAAGGAGGTGGGTAGCAAGCTAGTTCATTTTGGCGAGTATATGTGAATATTGTGTGTGTGTGTGTGTGTGTGTGTGTGTTTACACAATAACACATATGATTGTTGAATTTCCAGTTATTAGTATACTCAATTTGTTCTCTAATCTTCATCTTTTTAAAGCTTTTCTAAATGATCTTCTGGTAAAAAAAATGAGCTACTAGCTTTTTCAAATATTTGCTATTGCCATCTGTTTAATTCTCAATGCACGCTTCCAATGCTTTTGAGCTTTTTATCCCTAATAAACATAGTACGCTTTCAACAGACTCCTTCCTCCAGAGTCCCAACCCAGTGTCTTGTTGCTGTATTCTTTTCACTAACATCACTGTCCCTTGAACAGGATCCTCTTCCATATCTTGCACGTTTCCCTGAAGCAGATGTTTTAACTTCTACTAATCAAGTCGCACCTACAGTTTTCGATGACAGATTGGACATCTGGCAACAAAGTAAAGCTTCTCTTGCTCATCTCTGTTTTATTTATAGGTTGCCGAACACAATGACCTTGCATATTGTTCAATCCTTTGTCATATTTTATCAGGCAGCCTTCAAAGAAAGGGTTGCACCTCTTTTTTCTCCTCTACAAGGCAAAGAGGAGGACAGATGCATAGAACTCCATCTGTGCTTTTTTTTTTTTTTTTTTTTTTTTTGGGGGGGTGATGCATTTGCAGTGTGTTTACAGGTTAATTTTTATACTCATTCCATACTGCTGTGGTTATGAAGAGTATGATTCTTTGGATCTTCCAGTAGGTGTAGTAATGGTCCAAACTCAGTAGTGAAAAGGGATCTGTGTAGCCAACCTCAAATTTAATGGGAATAAGGTTCAGTTTGTAATTTTCCTTTTAAAGTTGTGTTTTAAAATGACGAATTGATTTGGCGACTTGATCTGACATGATGATTTAGGTGACTGCAGAAGGTATATTATTTTGAGAGACACGGTTAAAATAAGTTATGAATCATTTGTATAACTTGGATATGTTTGGTAAAGCTTTTTTCAAGCTTATAAGTTGATCAAATATCATTTTTATCTGCATATTTCGTAGAATCCGCACTTTTATCCACACACTCTGTAGGACCCATAGCTTATAATCTGTATGAAGCTTTAAAAGCTTCTGCTCATGGAAAATGGACATTATTTTCAAACAATGGTGTTTTTTTTTTGGGTTTTTTTATTATTATTATAAATAAGGTATTATTTTTATTTGCCACAACCAATTTATATTCCTTTTTCCATCTTGTGCACAGCTGGTGCTGCCTACAACATTGGAATTTTTCATTGGAGGCCAACAGAGTCTTCAAAAAAGAAAGAAATGCTTCTAGCAGATGAAACGATATGGGATCAAAATGGTTTCAATGAGATCATTCGCAGGCAGCTGGGGCCATCCGTTGATGAAGATAGTGGACTTGTTTATGCTTACGATGGAAACCTCAAACTGGGACTTCTCCCAGCGAGCATCTTTTGCAGTGGACATACGTACTTTATCCAAGTTTTTGTTTGTGATTTCTGTATGACCTCAATTTCTGATGTACAATTGACTGCAAAGTAAATAATAAAATAAAAGAATAGAAGATTAAGAAAATTTCCCTATAATATTATTCCTGTATATAGTCTAAATCTTGAATATTCAAAAGGCTACATCACTCAGAGGTTTCCTCAACCTTGTGCTAATTGTCAGGCTATATGTGAACAACTCAAATTGGAGCCCTATGCTGTACATACCACTTTCCAATATGCTGGTACTGAGGGGAAGTGCCATCGGCTGCGTGAAGCTAAGTTTTTCTACGATCCACCAGAATACTATGATTCTCCAGGTTTATATCAATTTTCCGACTTTACAGCCTTGTACAACAATCTCGTTGTCTAAAAGAAAGATGTCCATTAAACCTTCCTTATTCTTTTTCACAATTTACTTATTTTATCTGGAAAACGATGTCTAATTTCTCTAGAACATTGTGGTTCATGTCATAATTCTCATGATGTTTATCTCAACTGTCAACAGGGTGCCATGAGACGGCTTGGTTGTGGTCAGAACAAGTTGTCCACTTGCTACATTGAATAAAATCAAAAAGATGTTCAA